CTCCCGCCCTTCCTGCCCCAGACAAAATTTAAGAATAATAATAATAAATAAAACTTAAAAAAAGAGAAAGAAATGTGTAAACTGTGGGCCAACTGGTAGCCTATGGTTAAGGCAGCTGGATCCTACATGGCCAACTGTGCAGTTCGAGTCCTGGGATCTGGCGACTTGAAAAATACACCAGGCACATGTATGTGCATGCCCAAAATCCTGAAAGGAAAATGGAAGAGTAGGGATTGTGGTATGGCCACTCCCTGGTAGTGGTGGGGCTATTTCTCACTTTCCCTTTCTCCCTCTCTTTGTCTCCCCAGCAAGCCATGTGTCCCATAGCAAAACAAAAAGAAAAAAGTGTCAACTGAGCCAGTTGAGATGTCTGTTGTGTTGGCTATTGTTTCTGCTGTTACTCATCGGTCTTCTCCAATTAAGGCACGAACAAATTATTTTTTTCCTTATAAATTGTAGATGGCCTGCTGCTGCCAGCACCATCTTCAATGTTTTCATGTCCCTTCTTAAAACAAGTTATCTATTTGTAAACTGCTGCTTTTTGGGGGGCATTGTCCACATAAATTTTTCATAAAGAAGTCAATGACTTCACCATTCTTCTACCTAAGTTTCCTCATAAATCTGATATTTGGGGCTGGCTCCACTGCCTAGCAGTAAGTGCTGTACAGAAGCCAGATCCCACATAGTGAGTGAGTGCAGTTTGAATCCTTGGCCTGGTCTGCCTGAAACACACTAGGCATTCATGCAAGTGCCCGAGATCTGAAAGAGATAGCGAACAGGAGGAAGGGGATTATGGTATCATCAGACCCCATGACAGGTGCTCATCTCTTTCTCTTCTGTCTCCTCTCTGTTTTACATGCTTACACTTTATCATGAAAAAATAAATTAAAAAAAGAAACACTTAAAAAATGTTGATGTTTGGTCTTGCTTAAATTCATATTGCTCTGATAGGGCCTCTTTTCAAACTGTTGTCTTAATCCTCTTTACTGCCTCAAACTAGAGCCTGTTTAGACATGTTAAACAAATGAGTACAACTTTTATTTGGGTATAAAAATATCAAAACATGTGCATAGTTTTTTCATAAAATAGACTTCTGTGAACTTTTTCAAGCCTGTTCTATTCATTCATTGAATCTCAATGTTCAGGCAAAGATGACCACAATAATGTTTTTCTTTTTTCAAGTAGGTTTTTTTTTTAAGAGAGATTTTTGCTATAGGTCATGTGTGCTTGATGGAGACAGAGAAATAGAGAGACAGAAAGTGAGAAATCGCACCCTAGGGGGGATGGCCACACCGCAATCCCTTCTCCTCCAGTCTCCTCTTCGGATTTTGGGCACACATGCATGTGCACCCAGCATGAATTTTAAACTTTTTGAAGCCACCATGTGTAATTTGCAAAAGCGCAGCACAAAAATTCATTTAAATCAAGAAATTGTGGCTTTCACAGCCATTGCAGTACATTGAGCTCCATAGAGACAACGCCGGGACAAGTGAGAGTCGGACGGGCACTGGACTACTCTGTGCCTCGTGGAGGAAAGATAACTCAACATGGGCAAAAGAGATCCTAAGAAGCCGAGAAGCAAAATGTCATCACATGCATTCTTTGTTCAAACTTGCCGGGAGGAGCACAAGAAGAAGCACCCAGATGCTCCAGTCAGCTTCTCAGAGTTTTCTAAGAAGTGCTCAGAGAGGTGGAAGACCATGTCTGCTAAAGAGAAAGGAAAGTTCGAAGATATGGCGAAGGCGGACAAGGCCCGTTATGAAAGAGAAACGAAAACCTATATCCCTCCCTACAGGGAAAATAAAAAAGAAGTTCAAGGATCCCAATGCACCCAAGAGGCTTCCTTCGGCCTTTTTCTTGTTCTGTTCTGAGTATTGCTCCAAAATCAAAGGAGAACCTCCTGGCCTATCCATTGGTGATGTTGCAAAGAAATTGGGAGAGATGTGGAATAATACTGCTGCAGATGATAAACAGCCTTATGAAAAGGCTGCTAAGCTGAAGGAAAAATAGGAAAAGGATATTGCTGCATACCGAGCTAAAGGAAAGCCTGATGCAGCAAAAAAGGGAGTTGTCAAGGTTGAAAAGAGCAGGAAAAAGAAGGAGGAGGAGCAAGACGAGGAAGATGAAGAAGATGAGGAAGAAGAAGAAGATGAAGAGGATGAAGATGAAGAAGAAGAAGATGATGATGAATAAGTTGGTTCTAGCGCAGTTTTTTTTTCCTTGTCTATAAAGCATTTAACCACCACCACCACCACCCCCGTACACAACTCACTCCTTTTAAAGAAAACAATTGAAATGTAAGGCTGTGTAAGATTCGTTTTTAAACTGTACAGTGTCTTTTTTTGTATAGTTAACACACTACCAAATGTGTCTTTAGATAGCCCTGTCCTGGTGGCCTTTTCAATAGCCACTAACCTTGCCTGGTGCAGTATGGGGCTTGTAAATTGGCATGGAAATTTAAAGCGTGTTCTTGTTGGTGCACAGCACAACTGAGTTATATATGGGGATAGTAGTTTTTTCATCTTCAGTTGTCTCTGATGCAGCTTATACAAAATAATTGTTGTTCTGTTAACTTAATACCACTCTGTAATTGCAAAAAAAAAGTTGCAGTTGTTTTGTTGACATTCTGAATGCTTCTAAGTAAATACAATTTTTTTATTAAAAAAAGAAATTATTGTCAAAACAATTTTATTGTCAACAATCTTATTGTCAAAAAGAACTTTTTAAATAACTATTTTATTTCACTTTATTTATTTGTTTTAATTTGACCAGAAAGGGCAAGAGTAAAAAAGAGAGAGGGAAAACAAGAAAGCAAGCTGCCAAACCCAGGACTCAAACCATGATCGGCCATGTGGGAGCCCAGCGCCCCTAACCATCACACCATCTGCCCACCCCCCCAAAACTATTTTTTTTAGTTTGTTTATTTGTTTGTTTGGTTGGTTGGTTGGTTGGTTTTTTGCCATAGGGCTTGTGTGTTAACTGGAGAGAGAGAGGAATCATCCTCTGGGGTGGATGGCCATGCCACAATCCCTTCTTCATTCTCTTCATTCTCTTCCTATATACCTGGTGGAATTTTCAAGACACCAGGCCCAGGACTCAAATCGTGGTCAATCATGGAGGAGTCCAGTGCCATAAACCACTATGCCACCTGCTGGCCCCATCAAAAACAATTTTTATCCAAGCTTATATAAAAGAACTTCAAAAAGTTCATAGATCAATGGAATTAAGGGCCAGTTGATGACATAGTAGTTAAGGCTGCTGGATCCCACATGGTCAACGGCACAGTTTGAGTCCCAGAGCAGGCACCTTGAAAAATATGCTGGACGTGTGTGTGTTTGTATGTGTGTGTTTGTGTGTATACGCTCAAATTCGTGAAAAGAGAGAGAAAAGAAGGAGAAGGAATTGCAGTGTGACCATCCCCGAATGGGGTTGCTTTCTCACTCCCCATTCCCTTTATCTCTCTCCAGGAGAGCATATGTGCCCTCTGGTAAATTTAGAAAGAGAGAAAAAAGACAGAAAGAAGGAAGAATAAGGAGGGAGAGAGGGAGGAAGAGAAAGAAAAGAAAGAAAGATGAACTTAAAGTACAAGTTTATTTTGATGCAAGAAATTATAAAATTCATGTGTAGTGTTTTTATAATAGGCATTTTCTATGAATATTTTGAAGGCCCCCTTGTATGAACAGCTTTTAAAGGCCTTTGCAAAGAGTGGTCTCTTTTATTTCTCAGTGATGCAAGACCATCTTAGCTCATACTTGAATTGCTTTCCTTTCTCCTAGAAGACTCCTAAGACTATCAACCGAAAGCTGACCTTGTGGTCCCAGGTTTTGGGTTGGCTGAAACCAAGTCTGGCTCTTTTCTCCATCTCTTTAGAAAATGTGGACCTCCAGGTCTCCAGCTGCCAAACCAGAGAGTAGATGTTCTGCCTTTGGACCCAATAGGTTGGGCCTCTTGATTTTTTTAGAAAAGCTAGAAATTCCAGTAGTTATACACTTTCCTCATTTTCATGTTCATTACTAACTCCACAAAATTTAATTATATATAAGTTGAATGAAATCAGAGGACACACTGGACAAATCCAAATAGATATTCCACAATATAACTGACGTGTACTCTTCAAAAAAAGTCATCATCATGAAAGCTAAAGATGGGCAAGGGAGTTGTTCCAGACTAAAAGATACTGAAGAGAAAGGGCGCTGGAGTGGAATGAATGACTCGGACTGTCTTCTGCCATGAAGGACATTACTGGGACTGTCAGTAAAATATGAATTAGGTTTGTAGGTTAGATAATAGGATTATAAGAATATAACTGCTTGACTTTGATCACCGTGCTATGGTTAATAAGAGAACATACTCCTTTTTAGGAAATATACATGGAAGTATTTAGAAATAAAGGAGCATTATATCTATAACGTACTTTTAAATGATTCAGAAAAAAAATGTATTCATGTAAATATCTAACATTACATGTTTGAATTTATATATAGATAGATAAATCAGAAAGAACAAACCAGAGAACAGTAAAGCAAATAACAGTAAAATGGTAACTTTTAGGGAATCTGGATACTTATAACTTTTGTATAAGTATGAAATTATATCCTAGCAAAAGTTAAAAAAAAAATACTAATCACTTTCCAAGGAAAAGAAAACTCATTGTTCAGAAGAATGCTGCTTTGTGACTGATCTCTGGGATCTCAGGACCCTCAGAAATGCCTCCCTACAAAGGAGGCATCTTTTCTGTTCCTTCTAACTCTAACCCCTACCTTTAGGGACAGGGCAAAGAATCGACAGCAATCTGAACATCTGGAAGAACTTTGTAAAAGGAAACCTACTCCAATACCACTAGAGAGATACAACAGTTCAGAAGCTGGCCTGGCCAGCCACCTGGAAGGGCAGGGGAAAAGAGGAAAAAAGGGCAGGGTGTCCATCCAAATCAGAAGCAACATCACCCATTCCTATCACTTCTCTCGCTAAGCGTACCCCCAGGTGGGTTAGACACCAACCTCGCACACCACAGCATGATTCTCTTCGTCTTGAGCTTCTATTAGTTCAGCCAGGAAGTATTCACCATAAGTTTCCTTCAGAATTGTGTCATGGCGCAAGAATATTGGCATGAGGTCGTCATGATCTTCCACCCTGTTGAACAGAAAGGTTTATATTCAGTGTCCATTTATTTGGGTTCCTTCAGTGGGGCACCCATTGTGTACCAAACCCTGTTCTAAGTGCCAGGGATACAGCAACACAAAATAAGCTTATGGTCTAATAGGAGAAACAGATGATAAATATGTAACAACTTTAAATCTTAGTTTCAAACATTCCAAGTAGGGTGTTTTAGTCCATTATTTGCATTGCTAAACAGAAACACCTGAGACAGTGAATTTAAGAGAATAGAGGTTTACTTGCAAAACTCCCAGTTCTGGTGCCTGGAAAATCACAGGCATAGGTCTACAGTGTGACTGATGAAGGCACATTAGGATGGTGGGTAACCAGCTCTCATGAGAACTACCCCCTTTTCATGAGAGCCAGAAATCACCAGGTCTCACAGACATCACTAATCAATCCATGAGAGTGTTGTTCTGATCGCCACCCAGTAGGCCTTACCACTTCACAATATCAAATCCCAAAACATCAAATTTTGCTGGACAAGACTTTATACAGATCATAACATTCCCCAAGGATCAAGCCCTTCTCACATATAAAATCCAATCATCCCATTCCAATAGTCCCCAAAGTCTTAATATTTCCAGCACTGACTCAAAAGTCCAGTGTCTAAAATCTCATTTGAGACTTAAGACAAACTCTTTCTAGCCTGTGAACTCAAAATGAATTACATACTCTCAAAATACAATTGCAGAGCAGGTGCAGTGCAGACCTTTCCAAAATTTGACCACAAGAAAGGAATGACGGCCCCCAAGCAAGTCTGGAACTCACGTGGGCAGATATTAGATCTTGAAACTCAATGTGCTGCACCCTGCGGGGGTTAGGCCCAAAGCCTTCTCCTCTTGCCCTGTTGAACTCAGCCCGTGATTCGCTTCTCTCCAGCTGGAGTCTCTTGCCTGCACTTCTCCTTGGCTGGTCCTGCACACTGTAGCTGTACAGTTCTGAGGTCTTCAAGGGGGCTCCCACCACTGCTGCTCCACAAGGCATAGCCCTGATTGTATTCTCATCTCTGACCCTGGAGCCTGAAGAATTATCTCCATGTACACGCCACACACGTCTGCTGCTTGGATGTTCCAGAACAGAAGGTGGTGCTGCAGACTTAATGGCAGGTGCAGCTCTACCTGGGACTGAAACGCAGCACAGGCTGGGAAATGCTTTACTGGGATGCGGAGAGCAGAGTCCAGAGGCATGGGACAACAAGCCCATGCTAGGCCAGGCCCCTGAAACCATTCTTTTCCCCTAGGTTTCCACGCTTGTGATGTCCTTAGAGCTTTATTCCCATTTTCTTGACAATTATCTCGTAGATCCCTTCTAGGCTGGCTAATCTTTTTAGCACCCAGTATCTTGGCCATACTTTCCTCTGCCAAACATACTTTTTCATTCTTTGCCGCATGGCCAGGTGTAAAGTTTCCAAATATTTTGTTCTACTTCTCTTTATTGTAAGTTCTATCTTTCATCGTTTCATTGCTCTCTCACTTCACTAGGTGCAGTTAATAACAATCATGCAGTTCCTTCTATATTTTGCTTTGAAACTCATTTGCCTTATCTTCATCACTCTCAAATGCAAATTTAACAAAGCCTTAGAACATAAGCATTTTAAAGCAGTAAAATCCATTGCTTATAGTGTAAGCATAAGCTAACACCAGCTTCCAATAAAATTGTTCTCATTTTCCTTTCAAATATCTTCTATACAGCCTTTACTGTCCATATTTGTATCAGTGTTCTGGCTAGCACTTTTTTGGGGGTAGGTTTTTGCTATAGGACACATGTGCTCAACAGAGAGAGACAGTGAGAGGGAAAGTGAAAAATCTTCCCCCAGGGGGAACAGCAAATACTGCAACCCTTTCTCCTCCACTCTCCTCTAGGGATTTTGGGCATACACGCACGCACGCACGCGCACACACACACACACACACACACACCGCAGCCCACCACCCCGTCTGGCATGCCTTTCAAGCCACCAAGTCCAGAACCCAAACCACAGTCACCCATGTGGGAGTCCAGTACCTTAACCACCACACTATCCTATCCATTGGCCCCCTGGTCACCACAATTTAACCAGTATCTTAGCCAATCCCTAAAAAGTTTCCGTTCATTTCTAAACATGATTTTCTTCTGAGCCTCCAGTAGAATTCAGGCTCTTCCTTGCCTTCTCCTCCTCATCCACTACCTAGTTAAAAGCTATTTCCATATTTTCACACATCTGTAGCAACAAAATCCTGCTGTCTTAATCATCCCATGATATCTTCCAGTATGTTCTCTTTGATGCTTCCACAGTAGCTCCAGCTATTATGTTTTCAGTAGGTATATAAGGCTCAGGGCTTTATCCAGACGGTCTGCTGCTATCCTTCTCACAGCAACCCCAGGAGGTAGGCATGGCCATTTTCAGTCTACAAGTGGAAGAGAGCCAGGCTCATGGGAATAATGAAATGCTTTGCCTGAGATGAGAGAAATAGTTGGCAGTAGAGCCATGATAGGAGGCTTATCTTCATACACTATATATTAAGTTGAAGATGAACTTCCTTTATTGTGAAAATTAGTAGCAGGGAGTAAAACAGTTGAGAGGGGAGTCTTTGGCTCAGGAGTCATAGGTCATTGTCCAGTTAGCCCTGACCTGACTCCCCCCCCAGCACTGCCTATCCATCCACAGTCCCACTCCTAAGTTGAAATATTTTAAATCATAAGCCAGGGGTTCCTGACTCTCTCTCTCTCTCTCTCATTCTCTCTCACTCCCTCTCTCATAGATGAAAGACATAAATAAACTTTGGGGGAGAAAAAAATAATATCTGTGGGCCAGCCCACGGTGCAGTGGTTAAGGTGGCTGGATCCCACATGGCCGACTGTGCTGTTTAAGTCCTAGACCCAGTGGCTTGACAAACACACCAGGGAAGTGTTCATGGGTGCCCACAATTCTAAGAGGAGGGAAAGATGGAGGAGAAGACTGTGGTGTGACCACGCCCTACGTGGGGTGCTTTCTCACTTTTCCCTCTCTCCCCCATCTCTGTCTCTCTCCAATGAGCACATGTGCCTCCTGGGGGGGAAAAAAGTGTGTATGAAGTCTTATTATCACTATCATTACTATCCTTAGTAGGAAGGACCGGTTAGGACAACTGGAGAACACCTACACTACATCAGTGGGTAGAATGAGTGTCCTATGGTAGAAGCTTGAATCACAGCTTTAGCACCCCCTTCAGTTCTGTAGGTGTACACTCCATTCTACCCACTATTGCTAATCATTTGAAAATGCTGCCTTCCTCACCCAACTCCCTTCCTCAAACTCTGGAAAGCTCTCTATTTTTATTAGAAGGGCACAAATTCATTCATCTCCATCTTGTGTGTATTATTACCCATAATACACACAAGTTGACCTATAACATTTTTGTCCCTAGAAGGAGACCTCATCATCTTCCATCCTTCCTGCCTTTATTCCTAGCTAGTGTTCCAACCCCTTGCCTATTCCAAATTCCAGTACCCTTCAAAGTTCACCTCTACTCCCCTTCCCAGGAACTCAATGGTAGGATCATCACTGGGTATACATATTGTCCAGTTCTGGTGTTAATTTCTTATGGCCAAGGTGTGGCATCTTCCCAGCCAGGGAATATGCTCTTTGGGGATACAAGGGACTTCTGCAGCAGTTCTGTAGCACACAGTGTGGCCATGATAGCCAATGTGCCTTTGCTGGGACCCTATCAAGGGTCTTGAGTATGGTCACTAAGGCCACAGGAATGCATCTGGGATGTCTGAATCCGCAGCCCCACCTGGTGGCTCCACAGCCCCTCTACTTAGCTGTCTCCATTAGACTGACCAGGAAACCAGCAATGTCCCTTCAAAGCCAAGTCTTGGTTTCCTCATCTAACAAAGGGGTGGAGATAAAGGTAACTTCTAGGACGTAATGCACGATACAAATTACACACTTGAGCCCTTTCTCTAAAGAGCATAAACTCTCAGCAAGGGCTTCTTCCACATGAGCTTTCAGAAGCTCAGCTGAAAGAGCCTAGAAACTTCTGCTGCCTTCCAGAAAGGAAGAAACTCACTTAACCTGCCAAAAGCAGGTAGCTTTTCTCTGTAAAAGACCTCGATGCTATTGGCTAAAAGTATGTGTGTGCATGTGTGTGTGTGTGTGTGTGTGTGTTTATAGTAGGTGAGAACAGTCAACAAACCCATTTTAAAACAGTTTTCCATAAATAAAAGGTTGTATCAGTACTTATTAATAGACATATTGATTTTTAAATAATGGGAAATAACTCAATAGCCTAATCGCTATAAGTGGATCAAGACAGCAATCACAGAGGGAACTCCCACATCAACTGTGTGCCATGAAGTTTATTTATGTGATGGATACAAAATACTCCACGTACACAAAAATCAAAAATGCAGATACAGACCCAAGGCCCTAAGCATAATCATGTGTCCTTAGTGGTCCATTCACAAAATTATCTATAATCACACCTCAACAGTAATCCTTCTGTGAAAAATAAGAAGAAAAATGAAAATCTTGGAGTTCTGAAGAGTCTCTCCTGTAAGCCCTTCCTCAAAATGAATAAAGAGGAACTTGTTCTGCTAAATGCATTCCTTGGGGTAATTGATAATTTATGATCTTGCATCAGCCCCCGGTGCTAATGATAAAGTATGACATCAGCCTTGCATACTCTCAAATGGCATGTGACAAAGTCCAGCCCCACAGAAACAAAACACCACAGCTATGGAAAATAACCCATGCTGTAAAATGCCTCAGTGTGAGTGCTCTGAGGCAACGTGCACCGCCTTTCAGAGTCCGATACCATAAGAGCCACGTCTCACGTGATCCTGGCACTGCACTTCCACGGACCCAGCATCTGTGCCACTCAGTGTTTCAATGGTGATACTATGCAAAGATTATAGCTCATCAACACAGAGCACGATGAAAATAACACCTTTCCTTGAGTGAAAAAAGGTTCCTTTTCTCTTCTATTAAGAATATGGAATTTGCAATGGTT